GGTCTTCATCAATTTCACCTTCATTTTCTATAAGTAGTCTCCACACTCGCAGTGACTCCGTATTCAATATCAACCTTGGGCAGTTTTCGTCTCAAGGGTTTAGACTTTCCCTTGTGAACAGTTGTTGGAGCAAAAGGATTCCACAAGACAAGCTGGCCAGCATTATTACTGGTTCTTTTCTTACTGATAGCTATTCTTTTTCTATAGGTTCTCTGATCGCAGATTCTTATATTCTCTAACCTCTGAATACGTGATGCAACCAAGGATTCCAAGTCCGTTGAGCCTGCAAAATTGTATCAATATATACATCACAACTATTACAATAAGTGAGAAAAGGATAAATGCAGGTCAGAAGTAGATTACTCTGTGATCTGGGCCACAGATTTTCATGCCGCAGGCATTCTTGAATTTCATTGCAAGCTGATTTATCTGTTCTACGCCACAGATCTTCATGTTGTGGGCATTCTCGAATTTCATTGCAAGCTGATTTATCTGTTCTAGGCCACAGCTCTTCATGTTGTGGGCATTCTCGAATTTCATTGCAACCTGATTTATCTGTTCTACGCCACAGATCTTCATGCGGTGGGCATTCTTGGATTTCATTGCAAGCTGAATTATCTGTTCTAGGCCATATATCTTCATGTTGTTGGCATTCCTGAATTTCATTGTGAGCTGATTTATCTGTTTTAGGCCACAGATATTCATGTTGTGGGCATCCTTGAATATCAGGGCAAGCTGATTTATCTATAAAAGGTTCAATCCTGTTAATTGCACTTATTTCTGATGAAAGGCAGAGGGAATCTAGAATTGCAGTTGATCTTTCACTATTTTTAGATTTTTTTCCTTTTGGACATGACTAGTGGAGGCAAAGTTAAGGCAAGACTTAAAGGTTCTAGATCTTTGTTTTCTTCCCCATAAGCAGACTTTGTCCTCTTAGGATGGATAGATCTCTTCCTCCGAGACTTCACTATAGGGGACAAGCCAAACACACAATCAAAAGATTCTGGATCAGCCATTGCAGCTCTAATTTGATATTCAGTAGGTAGAACCTCTGCAACAAAATGTGATTTTAAGTTTACATTCTGCTCCAAGTTCACAGTTGAAAACCATATCCTTTTAGTACCACTGGCAGTTCTAGGACTTCTCCTTGTAGCTCTCTTGGCAATTATAAAACAACTCTTTTTAGCTCTCTTGGCAATTTTAGAACGCTTTTTTGTAGCTCTCTTTGCACCAAATCTTCCATACATCCTCTTTGCACTGGAAGGCACTTTGCACCACATATCAGTATTCAATGCATTCTGGCCTTTGTCTGCATGATGAGCATTCAAAAAATTGAAAAATACAAGTGCTTTTCTCCTTTTTGTCCTCCTTTTCTTGCATATTATTGGAAAATGCCAACCAGTCTGGTCCGCAGCTCCTTGGTCATTCCGGTAGAGATCAGCTTCATCTCCTATAAAAGATATAGTACCAATGTTACCTCTTGTCCTTCTTTTATAAAATTTTGGAAAATGATGCTGAGAACCACTTTGATCTGGGGCTTCATGGTCATTCGGGTAGATATCAGCTTCATTTCCCGCCAAAGACAAGGTACCAATGTTTCTTCTTCTCCTCCTTCCATAAACTTTCAGAAAACGATCCCGACAACCAATTTGGTCCGTTGTTCCATGGTCATTCTGGTAGATACCAGCTTCATTTCCTGGCAAAATACCTGTTTTACTTTTGGTCCTCCTTTTATAAAGGTTCAGAATATGATGCTGACAGGCTCTTTGGTCAATTTGGCCGATACTAGCTTCATTTTCTGCTAAAGACGTGGTGCCAATGTTAATTCTTCGAAAAGTAAGCAAAAGACTTACAACAAAAGAATAGTCATACAATGGAATTTGGTTACCTCGGTTGGGCTGGGAAGTTGACTCTGCCTCTAAATTATGTTCTAAGCCAGTGGTGCTAATATCATAACCGTCGTGTAAATTAGCTTTCAACAGGCTAGCACGTGTGACATGGCTGCTTTCATCTTTTGCCAGAACAATCAAGTTCGGAATCAGTGACTCCTTGTCTACATTTGCAGCACAGTGATATCAGTTTCAACTGCTAGCTCATTAACACAGTCCAGTCTATTTGTCAAGAATTTGTTGCAACTATGTGTTACATGATCTCTGATCACTTCTGCAGCTCTCTCGAAAATAACATCATTCTCAATTTCCAAATTAAAATCTAGAGCTCGTCTGCATGACTTCACATCATGCCCAAGATCTACATGAATATTGTGCTCCATTTCCTGCTGAGAAGTTGAAACCTTTAGGACTAGAGATACTCCTGGAGTCTTTCTGTTAGGTGCTTGCATATCACTATATCCTGATAAATCATCTGAGACTTTGTCGCAGCCTTTCTTAGTTTACTCTTTGTCCTAGCACTTGCCTTTAAGTTAACTGGTTTGGGAGTCGAAGGCTTTATCTTAGGCTTTGGAGTCTTTTTGGGCTTGCTTTCATCAAAGATCTTTGGTGTGTGCTTTTTCAATCTAGGTTTCTTCCTTGGTCTGTCGTTCAGGTCAAAGCTACCACCCTGTTCCTTCCTGGGATAACCCTTCTGGATAGGAGTTGAAGGAAACATGGAAGCTGATCTAGAATCACAATCCAGTTTTCCACTTTGGACTTTGCTCCTCCCTTCAATCACAGCAGAAACCTCCTCATCCTTTTTTAGGCTGTTATCTGCAAAAAGAAATTTGGACGCTCAAACATTTGAACTTACTGGAAATTTGGACATGGATTAGTTGACAGTGATTTTATTGGTGCCCTTTCTTTTGAAATATTACATCAATTACATTTAAGTACATCAGAAACAGGTAGCTCATTATAATTCCAACAATAATACAAGGAAAAAAAAGGAAAACTAAGAAGAATTTAATTAAGCATCAAGGAATCAAAATTGAGCCACTAAGCGCAGCATTATTGTGTATTCTACCATTCTAATACCAATCTTCCGGTGGTTATGGTGGTTATTGTAATGAACGCTTGCAGTGGTGTCATGTATTCTACCATTCTAACACTAATCTTCCAGGGTTATTATAACGAATGGTAGCATGAGGTTCTTCCATCCTTATATTTTAGTCCTACATTTTTTGTTAATCTCGAAGACAAAGAGAACCGGGCTTTTCCAAAGAATTACTGCAGCTTTCCCACTCCTTCTGATAATCATATACAAAAAGGTCTCTTCCACTTTCCTACCAAATCTCTGGCACATAAATGAAGGGATCGAAGAGGTTTGTTGGTCTTTTAAGATTTTGTTCTGTTGTATCCTTCTTTCTATACATCCCTTGAGGGTAAAAATCAATCTTTCTTCGTCTATGTTGCGGCAAGAAGCACCTTCTTTCTTCCCAACAACAACAACGACCTAGTAAAATCCCACAAGTGGGGTCTGGGGAGGGTCCTATCCCGATGGGGCATAGAGACCCTCAAATGTTAACATTGGATGGAAAAGTTAAGTGTTACTTATACATTGAGAAGGTTCAACAAAAACTGTTGGATATTTGCAGAAAAGGAGCTTGCATACACTTGGGGGAAAAGCAATCATCACGCAGAAACAAAATACACAGGATCAATCTCTTAATAATTATTGAATAATCTGACCTACTGAAACTGTGATACTGAAATTAAGTTACGCACAGACAGTAAAAAAAATATTTGTACAACGACGTCAGTTTAATGGTAATTAACTGTTATAATAGGTAAAGCTATACTGATCCTATAAAAATAGGAACAGTGTCCGTGTATATAACTTACACGAACTACTTATGGACGAAAATTTGTTGAAACCAGCACTATTAGAGTTACATTCTGGTGTTGCTATTCTGGTAAATTCAAGTGAAAAAGAGGAACATGATTGGGGAAAAAAGGAACCCTACCATAGCTCCCATATAAGTATTTGTGCTCTTAACCCTACCTCTCTTTACCTTCTTACTGCCGCATTCCTCCACGTCTCTCATACACCACCACTTTTACATACATAATGCTTTTCTCGTCCTTCTAGAGTCTTTCCTGCTGGAATTTTCACAGGTAAATTAAAAAAATTATAACTACAGTTTTTTCTTTGAGTAAGAACAAATATATGTTTGGGATGATCATCTAGCCCACAAAGCAAATTGATTCGTTGTAGAAGCTTAAACCTTCTTTTTTTTTGCGTGTGTGTCGATCTCTTATGCAATTACTAGTTTAATTTCAATTACTGTTTTTAGGTTTTTAATCCTGATAATTTTTCTTGTGTTTTTCATGTGATTGAAATAGGAGAAGAAGTAGAGATGGAACTGGGCAATGCAGCGCAGGAACAGTTGCAGAAAACAGTTTGGTGGGCGCCAATAAGGCCCGACAAGTGCTTGTTACGGTTCGGCCGGTTATTTTATAAAATTTGTACCATATTAATTTTTCAGTTATTCTATTATGTATAACCAAATTTAGACTTTTAGAAACCGTACCAATCATGTCGTTTTCTCTTCGGTATCGGTACGGTTCGGTTAATTTTCGATATTTTTTTAAATGTCATTTAAAAGTCACTAGTAGAAGCAGAATGCAATAACTATGGACTTTTATAGGACTTACCAAAACTCTCAAGACTTTTTTACTATTTAACGAGTGCTGAATTAAGAAAAATCTATATCTATATCTATATATATATATAAGCAAGAAAATTTGCCTTCTCATTTAGCCAAGTGGCAAGCTAATATAAAGCCACTTGGCAATTTAGGACAATATTTGTTATTGTACTTAGCGTGTGTCCAGGAGACTAGGTGGGTCGGATCGAGGGCGAAAAAACGTGGATGGGTATAAGTTGTGGTACTCTGGTGTCCTGAGGGGTAAGAATGGAGTGGGTATCCTGGTAGATAGCCATCTTAGGGAGTCCGTGGTAGAGGTCAGGCGGGTGAATGATAGGCTAATGACTATTAAGTTGGTGGTGGGTGAGGGTACTTTAAATGTCGTTAGCGCGTATGCACCACAAGCAGGCTTGGATGAGGATATTAAAAGGCAATTTTGGGAGGGGTTGGATGAGATTGTTCGTAGTATACCGCCTTCTGAGAGGTTATTCATAGGAGGAGATTTCAATGGTCATATTGGGTTATCTGCAGGTGGGTACACTGAGGTGCATGGCGGATTTGGTTTCGGAGAGCGGAACGGAGGGGGCATTGC